CTTTAACATTCTCAAACGAAGAGGGTGAAACACTAGAGAAGCAGACTAGGAAAACATCCGTCTGGGGATAACTCAAAGGCCGTAACCTGTCATAATCCTCCTGACCTGCAGAAACAGATTTAACTCGATCATTAAAGGTGAATAGGAATAAACCAAAGTATTATTTCATCAAATCAGGAACCCGAAGAGCGACTCTGACCTGCGGTATCAAATAATCCCAAGGTGTACGGTTCACCTCCGATCATGACAGTTACTGCATAGTTGTCAAACACCTGTGAGGACAAAATGGAAATTAATATTAACAGTGTGTTTTATTGAGGAGAGGAGACCCCAAGTCTTTTAGTTTGAGTGTTAAATAAGCACATTATTTAAATAAGATCGGGGAATTTTTGATCAACAGTGTGAAAAACGACCAGAAAAAACGACCAGTGTATGGCGACTTACTGTTGGTACATATTCAGAAGGGAATTTGTTGGTCGTGTACGAAATCAAAAGACAGGTTTTTCCCACTGCTCCATCTCCAACCACAACACATTTAATTGTCTGCATTTTTCTGTTCTCTGCTTGTCTGCAATGAAACATAGAAACTGATGTCATGCACAACGTAGCAACAAGACTTCAGATGAGTCTGTGGCAAGGAAGTACACAGCTACACATTATTATGATTAAAATTACCGATGAGACATTTCATTTCTTTAAAGAGCATGGTCAGGTTAATTAGGCTGGTGATGACGTGTGGAACCACATGCAAACGCAGTCAAACTTTAAAAGACCTTGACAAAACTTTTGGAAAAACTGGGAAATATTGCAAAGCACAATTGTGCATAGCTTCCGATAATTGCCCAAGAAGATTAAAGAAAATTGCTGCTAACCAGTATTGACTAATGAAGTGTGCGTCTAATGAATTTATTATTCAATTATAGCCAAAACATCTTTCTACATTATTCTCCAATCCGGACATAATGATGTGGATAGTTGATAGAAAGAATCACTTTTAAATGCATTTCAATAACACTTTAAAACATGAGCAAGAGCCATAAAGATCCTGGGGGAGAGGGAAATGCGGTCGTAAGCACAAGGCAATAATAAAGTACTGCAGATCACCACAAGCCCTGCTAGAAAGTTGTTTACCAAGACATTGAATCTAGAATAGATTAAACATCCATTCATTAAGTTACCAACATTACTGAAACAAGTGATAGATTCACAAAGACTCACATTCACAAAAAAGTAATCTAATTTAGAATATATTATTCTTTCACAAGGACACAATCCCTACATAAATCTATCTTGACTCTGAAACTGTAATACATACAGTACATTGGGTTTGGCATGCAGTTACACCGTTAATACAAGTAAGAGGTTAAGGGCATTGTGAAGGCAGACAGGCACCTGTGTTGACAATAGCTGCAACAAACAATTATTTTGATAATCGACCATATTATTATTTGAATGATTAGTCGACTAATATAACCTACTATCTCAATGATTAATCAGTAGGCTTTGAACGAATATTCAGCTTCGGCAATTTGTTAAAAAAAACGTTATACTTATACTATATTTTAACTAATAAATAAAACAAGGAAATCACTTCAGCATCGTGCCTGGATGTTTCCTTTTGAAATGTTTCAGCATGCATGTTGTGCTTCTATGAAAAGCAAGTTCAGCCTTGCACACATCACAGATAACATAATTGATAGTTCGAACTTCTGTGAAACCTTCCCACGCTGGACGTGTTCTGCTCCGTTTAGATTTTAGAAATATAAGTTCTCTTCTACTGCATTCAGGAGGGCTGAATTACAGTCTATCACGTTATTGCGGGAACTTAAAAATAGGTCCTTTGAGATCAAACGACATGTCGACAACAAAAATATTTGTTTACATTAAACAAAAAGTATCTGTACAAATCGTTTCAGCCCTAGTTGACAGTGAAAGCTGCCAGTCATCATGATCATATTCACACAAATGTTTAGGCCCTACATGCGTAACAGGTTTTTATATTGGGGAAATATTTTAATCATAATACTGACAGGTGATTTATTTCAACTGGCCAATAAAAGACGCTACGCAAAGTCCTCTTCTCATTACTGGGCACTGTCTTACCTTTGCCAACTAAGCTACACAGACGGTACCTAAATTGTGTTTTACTTGTTATTTTGTCTACTATAATGAATACTCCCCTATGCAGACTATAAATTGAGGAAACATTTGCTGTGGATTATTGGCCATATAACAACCTCATGCCTATTGTTTAATTGTTAACTGGGTTGTCTGAAATTCATATAGTAGCTATATACCCCCGGTATGACATCACATAATATTTTACACACACACACACACACACACACACACACACACACACACACACACACACACACACACACACACACACACACACACACACACACACACACACACACACACAGCACTGCTTTATAAGTCAAACTAACTATACTGTAGGTGCAAAGGCACCTTGGTAGTAAATTGTCAATAAAGCACAGTATCCAGGCACTCCGAGGGGGGTCGAGCATAGTAACAATAGCTCTTAGTGGTTGGCCATTATCTTTTATTATATGCACCTAGCCAACTATCCAAATTGATTTGCTAGCTGGATAGCAACCCAGGCATGTAAACATTTTGTCAACCCAAATGTTTAAGACATAAAAGAGAACCCGGGAGTATCGTACGTGGATGTAGTCGGGTATTAATACTAGAATATGTGATATTATTAACGTCCCCTCCCTGTTTCCTTCTGTCTGCTTCTGTTGAAGAAACGTTTCCAAACTAAAACGTTTGGTTGTCTAAAAATGAACTCCTCCTGGTTTAAAGTGAGATGTAGCAACAACATTATGGACAATGTAGTACGGACCGAATATGAATCTGTCTTAATGTACCACTAGCTAACTAGCTAGTTTGGTGCTTAATGCTAACTGACTGACTAGCTAGCTAGCTAACGGGTTAGCTACGACTAGGTCTAAGATAGCTAGCATTCTCAATTTCCTACTCAATCTTCTCATTATAACCAATTAATGACACGGCAATAGCTAATAAAACGTAAAATAACGTTGTACTGTGTAAATGTATACGCTATTGATCACTATAACATTCAAATGGTGGATTTGCCAACCTTTTCCTCACTGCATCTGGTACTTCACCGGGCGTTGGCAGCTGCTGGATGTTCTGCTATTACCAATATTGAGTGTAACTCCATCCCCACCAGCAGGGGGTGCCCAACTGTCAGGTAAACGCTTTGTAACTCCAATCCCCACCAGCAGGGGGTGCCAAACTGTCAGGTAAACGCTCTGACGGTGACCACAGAGATGGACAGAGGACTTTTAAAGTATATTTTAGTATATAAATAAATTAGAGATGGATCATAATGTGACAGGGGTGCAGGTTCACCATTGCATTTCTTCTAAAAACATCTCTATAGGAACCATTCCAAACACACTGTTTTTTTTTTAAAGTAACTTTATAGGAATCAACCCTATACCCATGTTTTTTAGATGTCCTTTAAATGACCTTTACAGGAATATATCCTCCAACAAACATCCTGTATGACCATTTCAAGTTGTTAAGAAAATCTGATTTCTTAACTAGTTAAAAACATGTTGAGCAATACTCCGTGTGACACTGCTGTGTACGGCAAACACTGGAGTGTGTTCGATGTTGAAATGTTGTTACAATGATTCATTTGTAGTTTTTTGATAAAACTGACAAATACTTCTGAATCTGTTTTTATTTCCATAGGCTACTTTGCTCTCATAATTACAAAAAATATGTATCTCAATTGTGATTTCAATTGAACATATTAAAACACATTGAACTTTTCAAGACTAATATTCCTCCCAGCCAGAAATATGCATATTTGTGCATTAGTATGCAGTTAAACTTCAGAATTTCATTTTCTAACACTGGTGTATTCACACATCTCTGTGGCTGCTAACTGAGTGTTGTCAGACGTTAAGATGATCACGTCACTGTAAATCACATCCTTTATCAGCTGTGCATTGGATTTACCAAAGTTCTCATACGTGTTTTCGTTGTCAGTAACAACCATCTGAAAAAGAATGTGAAAACAAGTTATATACTAAACTTCAATATCACAGGAGAACATGTTGGGTTTTCTCTCCTGTAAATAACAAATAATAATTTGATCAAAATGCATAGAAAGGCTTTTTTGTATTAGTGCTGAAGTGCATTTCTGTACCTGAGGTTCATCTCTGGTATATGTTTCATCGTTCAAGTCTTTTGCTTTTAGCTTACATGCTACAAAAAATAAAAATGGGAAATGTAAGAATATCAACTTTTTAAAATCGACATTTATTATACACTCTGACCAGCCAAAAACGTATGACCACTCACAGGAAAAGCAAATAACGTTGATGGTGAACGATCACTCATTTTGGTCAACGCGTTGCAAGCAGGAGAAATGGACAGGAGTAAAGACCTAAGTGACTTTGTCAAGGGCCAAATAGTTTTGGCCAGATGACTGGGTCAGAAAATCTTATGGGTTGCTCCCGGTCTGCTGTGGTGAGTTCCTGCCTACAGTGGTCCGAGGAGTGACAGACCGGCGACGCATGAGGGCAACGAAAGCTATTCCGTCTGGTACAAACCGACAGAAGTTTTACTGTGTGGCACAAGTGACAAAAATGTGAAGGGTGGTTGTGTATAGGGCTCCGTAGCCCACAGACCGGTAAGAGCACCCTAGATGACACTGGGCCGCTGTTGATACTACTTACAATGGGCACACGGGCGTCAGAACTGCACCTTGGAGCAGTGGAGAGGAAGGAGGCCTGGTCCAATCTGTCCCGTTTTCTCTTACATCACGTAGACAGCCGTGTATTTGCAAAGCGCTAACCTAGGTTCATGAATGGTACCAGGAGGCACATTGGGAAAACTACAAGCTGGTGGAGGTGAGGTTTAAGTTCTGGGCAATGTTCTGCTGGAATATCTTGGGTCAGGGCATTCATGTGGTCCTCAATATGACAATTGGAGCAGTTGGTGTAGCTCATTGGTAGAGCGCATGCTTTGTATGTATGATGTCCTGGGTTCAATGCTTCTCCCGAGGTCGCCTTTGCAAATGAGAGTTTGTTCTTAATCGGCCAACACATTGTTGTAGACCAGGTACACCCCTTCATTGTGAGGATATTCCCTGATGGCAGTGGCCTCTTTCAGGATAAAGCGGCCTGCCACACTGTAAAGATTGTTTCATAATGGTTCGAGGAACATGATGAAGAGTTCAAGATGTTGCGCTGGCCTCAAAATTCCCCAGATCTCAATTGAGCCTCTTTGAGATGTGCTGAGCCAATAACACGGATCTATGGCGGCTCCACCTCACAACACACATGAAAGATCTGCTGCTAATGTCTTGGTGCCAAAAACCTGGGTCTTGTAGTGTCCATTCCTTGGTGGGTGAAGGCAGTTTTGGCAGCACACAGAGAACCAACAGCATATTAAGCAGGTGGTTCATAATGTTTTTGCTCATCAGTGTAGTATCAGTAGTATTGTGTTAAAATAATAACATCACTCACCCAATGCTTCCCTTTTCCAGTGGAAAACTAGCAGACCTGCAACCATTATAATGAGAAAACAAATACAGATGGCAATAATGATCAGTTCTTCTGATGATGGCCTAAGGAGGAACATATTGAGAAAAAGGGATCAGAAGTTATTTAAAATAGAAGGCCTTCAAAATGTGCAATTTGACTTGGGGTGAATGAAAATGTATGCATTTAAAGTGTAAGTAGTTGGGGTGTGAAGGCTTACCATTGGTCGTCAAATGGGAATGTTGTTATTGATGTTGTTATTGATGTTGTTGTTGGTGTTGTTGTTGGTGTTGTGGTTGGTGTTGTGGTTGGTGTTGTGGTGGTGTTGTTGTTGCTACTACTGTTGGTTCTATTGTAGTTGTTGGATCTGTAAAAGGGATTAGTGGCATATTAGTCATAATAAAACACCAAAAAAGAAGAAAAAGGTAAAAAATGCTTTAACATTATGTAAAAGAAAAGACAGACAACAGGAACATGGGTTACAGTATCTTTTGTTTGACTAATAGTGCCTGTTAACAAAACCAAACCACTGCCACCTCAAGGTCACCTTTCACTTATCCAGGAACCAGTAAATAGGCTATGCGAGTTACGTAGACCATTACAATGAAATGAAAAACGTTATATATAAATGTGAAGATGTTTATTTTATGTGTTTACCTAATATTATGTTAGACATACTGTGGAATATGTCATTTAGAAATATAAATAGCGTACTTGATTTTCGGTTTCCCATTTCTTTCAGCGAATGTTGTTGTTTACTGTATGGATGAGATATATCATAAATAGTACATATATATACCGTACATAGTACCTAGACATACAATACATAGTACATCGATATACCATACATAGTACATATATATATATATATATACAATACATAGTACATATATATACCATACATATTACATAGATATACCATACATATTACTTAGATATACCATACATATTACATAGATATACAATACATAGTAAATTGATATACCCTATGTAGTACATAGATATACCATACATAGTAAATTGTATTTGAACTAGTCTTAGTAGTCCACACTTAGAGTGAACATGCTTAAAGTCTGATGCCTATTCAATTGTGGGTTAGGGGACAAAAGAAGAACATATAGAATAAAAGAGATAACAGACCTTACCTTTAGTAACACTTCTGGGACGTTCTATCCAGTCTGAGCCAAGTTTGACGCTTTTAAGGTGTTTATCCATGTTGAAATATTGCAGATGTCGAAAGTGTCATTCTGTTATGAAATACTCTTCTGTCATTTGATGGTATCTAGTAAGAGAACTGTTTCCAAAAAGAGAAGTTGGAGATATTTTATGTTTAAGGAACTAGCATGTTGTAACGCTAGATTGAAGTTTTACAATTTCCACCATTTAAAATAAAAAAGTTTACCATCATTCAAATTTCCCCCTTTTTCGTATAAAAAGGATTGGATTATATTTTTTTTGGGTTGGGTTTTTCGTTAATTTAAGGAAGATCGCAGTTCTCAACCCAACTTGAATGCCGCAATTAAAAAAAGGGTGTGTCAACGATGGCTGAGGAAGGGGGAGGAGCATACCTGTGCTCATTTAGCCAATCAATAGCCTGTGATGACACATTCTATAAGATTTCTGTTTACTTTAAATAAATTATATGTAATTAACCACACTGACCGCTTGGTCATCAGCGTCTCCATCAAAAGGTATCACTGTGACAATAACATTTCGGTATAATGGCCCTTGCAACTCACATGACCCAGTGACAAGTTAACTCAGTCCCCAAAACTTGCCCTTCCGATATTGTCAGGTCGAACTAGCCAAAGACTATAACAAAATGCAAGTCACCTGATCTCAGACTATCAACAAGACACCCAACAAGCCGATTAATGTGCTCCTCACTTCACCAAATCTGCATACCCGGCTGTATTTCGTGCGATCGGATGGTTTCATACATTATTTATTTATGTCGTCTTTCTGCGGATTGTCATCTTGCAATTGAATGTCTTTAAACCAGGTCGTTATTATAAAATACATGGCCGAGTAACAATGGTAACAAGAGTCCCTATACATTACCGTATATGACTATTGACTGAACATGTTTTAATAGGATATATGGATCAATTGGTGCCAGGATTAAGCAACACAGAGCAACATTGGCCAGAATTGACCTTGTTCTGGGCCAGATCAGGTCATTGTTTCTTGCTCTTGGGGGCTTCTAGGCTGTGTAGAACTTTGTGATTGTTAATGTAAAAAGGGCTTTAGAGAATACTTTTGATGGACTAATTGAATGATGATTATATAAGTTCCTTACTACTACTGTCCCACAAATGTCTGGTAAGGCATGTTTTTCAGTCACAAATGCCTCCAGCAGCAAAAAACAAAAAAATTGAAGCAAAAATAAAAAGAAAGACAAATCATACTTTCTTACTATAACCTACATTTGAGGTGATAGCTGTCCTGGCCAACTGTCACAGCCCAACATGTTGCATTAGCACCAGCATTTCTTTCTTGTTCTGTGGTTTATGTTGTCTGAAATAATGGCAGTGTGAAGGGTGGAAAGAAAAGTTAATTATTGAGTAATCTGTTTGATTACAGAAAGGTTTGTGCAAATCCTTATCAAATGTTTTCTTATCAGAAACTGATCTGATCTGAACTACTAAATATACTTTATCTTAAGTGCCTCTGTTTTGTACTTTGTTTAAATTGGCTCTGCAATAACTATATATATATATATATATATTAATATATATATATTAATATATATATGTATATATATTAGATTACACCACTTAGCTCTTGTACAATGTACAATTATTCTATCTTAAACTATATTATCAAGTCTAACAAACATCCTCGAAAGCTTCAATATAATGAGAAAGAAGTGTAGCCATAAGTGATTAAGTGTATATTATGTGTATACAAATGTCTTAGCAGTCACACATCATATGTGGTGGTCTAGTGCAGATTTGACTAATGTTAGGGATCCTGTTCTAGTGCAGATTTGACTAATGTTAGGGACCCTGTTCTAGTGCAGATTTGACTAATGTTAGGGACCCTGTTCTAGTGCAGATTTGACTAATGTTAGGGACCCTGTTCTAGTGCAGATTTGACTAATGTTAGGGACCCTGTTCTAGTGCAGATTTGACTAATGGTCTAGCGTGTTAAAACTATGGCAGCTGCTAATGGATGCACGTCGTTCATGTCAGGGTTATGATCCTACATTTATAGAGATCTAGACTAATGTAATCCTATAATGTATCAAGATTAAAGTCAGATTGTCATTATGGAGTATGAGTTTTCTGGACTCAGATTGTCATTATGGAGTATGGGTTTTCTGGACTCAGATTGTCATTATGGAGTATGGGTTTTCTGGACTCAGATTGTCACTATGGAGTATAGGTTTTCAGGACTCAGATTTTCATTATGGTTTATGGGTTTTCTGGACTCAGATTTTCATTATGGAGTATGAGTTTTCTGGACTCAGATTGTCATTATGGAGTATGGGTTTTCAGGACTCAGATTTTCATTATGGTGTATGAGTTTTCTGGACTCAGATTTTCATTATGGTTTATGGGTTTTCTGGACTCAGATTTTCATTATGGTGTATGAGTTTTCTGGACTCAGATTTTCATTATGGTGTATGGGTTTTCTGGACTCAGATTTTCATTATGGTGTATGGGTTTTCTGGACTCAGATTTTCATTATGGTGTATGAGTTTTCTGGACTCAGATTTTCATTATGGTGTATGAGTTTTCTGGACTCAGATTTTCATTATGGTGTATGGGTTTTCTGGACTCAGATTTTCATTATGGTGTATGGGTTTTCTGGACTCAGATTTTCATTATGGTGTATGGGTTTTCTGGACTCAGATTTTCATTATGGTTTATGGGTTTTCTGGACTCAGATTTTCATTATGGTTTATGGGTTTTCTGGACTCTTTCTTGAAACAAGTGTTGTTCCACGTATCCCGCCCTCCACATTGCTGTTGGTCCTTCAGACAAGGAGAAATAGCCTAATGGAAAGATAGGTAATCACACCACACAATTCAAGCCAGCAAGTACGTTATATAAGTTGACACAATCTTTCGTCAATATTCCCTTGAAGTGCTCTTCAAGATATTTTTCGAGCACGCAGAGAGTATAAAAAAGCAAGCTGTAGACACACACACACACACACACACACTTTGTGGAAGGCAATCATGGGCAAAGTTCTGTTTGTGATCGGTAAGTAGATTTTCGGTCAAAACGTAACATTAAATCTTTGTCTGGTATGGATCTAATTTATTGGCAACAAAATGTGACCTGTATTTCTGTCTTTCACAGGCCTCGCTCTGCTGCTGCATGCGCAGCTGGGTGAGTGGACTCCAGAAACCACCTCAGAGTCTTTGTGTTAGTGAAAATCCCATAGCGTAGTGATATGGGATGACTGGTATCATGTCTGCTTTCATCTTTTGTCACAGGGTCCTCCTACATCCTGTCATGCTACTTCACCAACTGGGCTCAATACAGACCACCACCCACCATTTACATGCCCAACGATA